CTTTTTTTAAAAAAAAAACACAAATTCTGTTATACTAAAAAAGGATACAATGGAGGTAAATTACGTTTGTCCTAACATTCATCCCCTTGATATTGTGATCTATACTAAAAAATCATGTAACTATCCTTAGTAGATTGTCTAAAATAAGTATTCTGATTTAAAGTCATATTTGAAAAGTGTTATTGACTTACTAGTTTCTAACGTGAATTCTCCGATATTTTACATTAATTTGCATTATCTCCTTTCACACATTTTCTACTTCTTTAAGTCACTTTCACACACAAATTCTGCAGACTTTTCTATGTGTATTTGGGGGAAAGATTTTCATCACTTATTTCAAAGGCAATCTCTGATATCCAGGAAGACTCTGGGTCCAGGTAAAGGGTTTGCCACATTCTTTAAAGTTTCTCTCCAGTATTAATTCTCGTGCATCAATTAAGATGTAAATGCTGAATATAGACTATGCTGAACTTTTTTATTTGTATGGCTTCTTTTTAGTATGGATTCATTAAAGTTCAGTGAGCCTTGATAAATGGTTAAAGGTTTTGACATTCTTTATGTTTCAATTGTTTCAGTCCAGTAAGAATTATATGATATTGACTAAAGTTTCAACACTGGATAAAGACATTACCACATTCTATGCACTTGTGAGGATTCTCTCTGGTATGAATTCTCTGATATTTAATGAGGTTTGGGCAATGATTGATGTTTTTTCCATATTGTGTAGATTGCTTCTATTTATCACGTATTCCCCAATATTGAACAGAGCTAGAGCAAGGTTAAAGGCTTTGTCACACTTCTCACAACACTAAAGTTTCTCATGTATTTGGTAAGAATTATGCAGTGTAAAGGCTTCGCCATATACTCAACCTTCATAAGCTTCTCTCTGATGAATCCTTCGATGTCTAGAAAGATGTGAAGACCATGTAAAGGCTTTGCCACATTCTACACATACATAAGGCTTCTGTCCTGAATGAATTCTCTGATGATGGGTAAGGGTTGAAGACCGGTTAAATGCTTTGCCACATTGCATACATTTATAAGGCTTCTCTCCAGTATGAATTGTCTGGTGTTTCTTAAGGCTTCCACACTCATTAAAGGCTCTGCCACATTCTGTACATTTATAAGGCTTCTCTCCAGAATGAATTCTCTGATGTCGAATCAGATGTGAGCTCGACATAAATACTTTGCCACATTCACTACATTTATAAGGCTGCTCTCTAGAATGAATTACCCGATGTCGACGAAGATTTACCTTCCTGTTAAAGGTTTTGCCACATTCTCTACATTCATAACGCTTTTCTCCAGAATGAACTCTGCGTTTCTTAAGGCTTGCTCCCTTGTTAAACGCATTGACACCTTCTGTACATTTATAAGGCTTCTTTCCAGAATGAGTTTTCTGATGTTGAGAAAGACTTAAGCTCCAGGTGAAGGCTTTGCCACATTGTTTACATACATAAGGCTTCTCTCCACTATGGATTCTCTGATGTCGAACCAGTTCTAAGCTCAAGAAAAAGGCTTTGCCACATTCTTTACATTCATAAGGCTTTACTCCAGAATGAATTATCTCATCTTCTTTAAGGGTTTCACACATGTTAAAGGTGTTGCCGACATCTGTACATTTATAATAGTTCTCTCCAGTATGAATTACCTGATGTTGAATGAGACTTGACCTGTGGATAAAGGCTTTGCCACATTCTTTACATTTATAAGGCTTCTCTCCAGTATGAATTCTCTGATGTTGAGTAACGCTTTTATAACAGTTGAAATCTTTGCCACATTCTCCACATATATAAGGCTTTTCCCCAGAATGAACTATCAGATGTTGCTTAAGTCTTCCACATTCATTAAAGTAATCATTGCATTGATTTCTTCTCTCTTCATTATGTGAACTCTGGTAAACAGTGAAGAGATAAAATCTTTTAAAGAGGGCTCTAATATCATTGCACATATAAAGTTGTTTCCAATTACCTATTCTGATACCTATCTACATCCTCCCACACTTACAAAAAGTATACACTCTGAAAGACAGGTGAATATTTCTCCATGAAAGAATAATGGAAACTTCTTTGAGAGATTTGCAAAACTAATTAACAATTTTTACCTTCACTTTAGAAAGACCTACATTTTAGCAATATTTGACAATTTAATCAAATCCTACATTACATCATTCACAAAATTGTTTGCACAATGGACTAGCTAACTTCTCTGATATTCCAAATTTTACTTTAGGGAATAAGTATGTATGTATGTATGTATTTATTGATTTATCTATATATCTATTTATTCACTTCTTTATTCATTTTCATCCTATCCTGAAGAAATGATTATTGATATTTATAGAGAGTGAAGTAGAGAGAGAGGAAAAGAGAAAGTGAAGAACGTCGATCAATGGCCTCCGGCATGCAACCTGACCAGGAATCGAACCCACAACATTCATTATATAGGGCAAAACTCCAACCAACCGTGCCACACTAACCAAGGCAGCAAACATGTTTTTTAAATTTTATGGTGTTTACGTTCAGAGACCATTGCTCTGTCAACATAGCTGATGAAAAATAGATATTTTCAAGATTTTTTTCCCCAAGATGTTTTATATACTTAATCTCCTTAGGCAACAAGGATTTTATTAAGGGTAATTGCCCTACTTTGATTATATCCATCAGAACATCCTTTTTTCTCTCTTCATATTCCTTCACCCATTACAAAATTTTCATTAAGTGTAAATTCTCAGTGCCACACATGCTAGATCTTACCTGTTGCATTTTCTGGAATGAATCTTCTACGTCTGAGTTTAAAAACAAACCCTGGGTGACTTGAGAAGACAGAGCTGAAATATAACAAATTAAGTATGAAACACTACACTCAAGTAAATATTCTTTAAATTCTAATGTGAGATGGCAGAATAGGAAGCACAACTTTTTTCCTCCGTGGAGATGTTAATTGACCCAATTACCTTCTAAATTGCTTCAGAAGCCAGTTCAAAGACCACAATACTCACCAGAAAGCACAAACAAAAAATTCATTATCAAAGAGAAAAACAAGTTACCTACATTTGCCTACAATACCTACTCACCCTTTGTGACATACTACAAAATAACTGTGGGATAACTCCCAAGTCTCAGTTTCTTCTCAGAATAGAAATCAATGGCTGTACTGTGTCTCCAGTAGTCTGCATTTTTGACAACTGCCTGAGGAACTTGTTTCTCTTTTGAATGACACAGATTTAAAGGAAATGTTAATATACTGTGACTGCAGTCACCAAGACACATCATAATTAAAATGCCAAGAGCAAAAGACAAAGAGAGAATCTTAAAAGCAGCAAGAGAAAGAAACCCAGTTACCTACAAAGGAATACCCATACGACTGTCAGCTGATTTCTCAACAGAAACTTTGCAGGCCAGAAGGGAGTGGCAAGAAATATTCAAAGTGATGAATACCGAGAACCTACAACCAAGATTACTTTACCCAGCAAAGCTATCATTCAGAATTTAAGGTCAGATAAAGAGCTTCACTGATAAGAAAAAGCTAAAGGAGTTCATCAGCACCAAACCAGTATTATATGAAATGCTCAAAGGTATTCTTTAAGAAGAGGAAGAAGAAAAAGGTAAAGATAAAGTAAAATATGGGATATACGGGCAAAAAAATCTACCACAGCTGACAGGCGGGCATGGCTCAGTGGTTGAGCTTTGACCTATGAACCAGGAGATCAGGTTTGATTCCCTGGGGCAGCATATAGAAGGCAGCTCATCATGATGTTTCTATCTCTCTCCCTCTCCCTTCCTCTCTGAAATAAATAAAAATATATTTAAAATAGTAAATAAACGAATAAAAACAATCTACCACAGCTAATTATTTGCGTTGTCTTGTACAAAGCAATTTCATAAAGAATGTGCTGCTTCTAGCCGAAACCGGTTTGGCTCAGTGGATAGAGCATCAGCCTGCGGACTGAAAGGTCCCAGGTTCGATTCCGGTCAAGGGCATGTACCTGGCTTGCGGGCACATCCCCAGTAGGAGATGTGCAGGAGGCAGCTGATCAATGTTTCTCTCCCATCGATGTTTCTAACTCTCTATCTCTCTCCCTTTCTCTCTGTAAAAAATCAATAAAATATATTTTAAAAAAAAAGAAAAAGAATGTGCTGCTTTCTAATGACCTTAAATAGCAGCAAAAGATCACAAGGCTCACGAAGAAACAGAAAAACAGTCCAGCCACAGGAACAAAATAAATCTCCATACACTGGCCCTAAGTTAACTAACATCTGTTAATTACCTGACCAAGATCTCAAATATGCCGAAACCGGTTTGGCTCAGTGGATAGAGCATCGGTCTGCGGACTGAAGGGTCCCAGGTTCGATTCCGGTCAAGGGCATGTACCTGGGTTGTGGGTACATCCCCAGTAGGAGATGTGCAGGAGGCAGCTGATCGATATTTCTCTCTCATCGATGTTTCTAGCTCTCTATCTCTCTCCCTTCCTCTCTGTAAAAAAATCAATAAAATATATATTTTTTTAAAAAAGATCTCAAATAAACCAACGTGAAGGGGAAATATTGCAAAATATAGAAAACATAAAAATCTAAATATTATCATCAAACCTATACGTGGGAAAAATAAAATGCGACAGAAAGTGTAAGAAAAAAAAAAACATACATTGGGAGCTGTAGGACCCAGTACCTGAATTTAAATATACAATAGAACTATCAGCAACAGACCTGATCAAAAAGAAGGAAAAATAAGACAACTTGGACATCTATCTCTGGTGTTCCTGGTTTGTGAGAACTAAATTCTAGTATCTCAACCGCTTCCCTCACAAATTAATTACATGAGACATAAAAGATTAAAAAGAAATATACCTCACCCAAATATACCCTCTCAAAAATAATTTCCGGTACAACCTGGCTAGAACCTGGCTAGAGAACCTGGCTAGGCTGCTGCTTAACTAAACGCTGTCTCCATGTCATTCCTTCTTCGCCGACTCTGTCTACATCTTTGGGCACCCCTGGATCTGCTGGGGCTGGACCCCAACACATGGAGAAAGCCTGGTATCTTGGTTGGTAGCCCTGAAAATGGATGGCACTGGAGCATTGGGCCCATACCCAGCCATCGCTGGTCGTCTGTTGGAGTGGGAGAGGAGTACAGAGGGCATCTCTGAGTTCCCACCCAACATGCCATGCACACAGAGCTGTAATGAGTAGGAGGGCTGCTGTGGTGGGCCTTAAAGCCTAGGGCATGGCCCAGGTGGAGCCCCAGCAGGTACAGATCTTGGTAAAGAATTTGCCTAACCCAGCAGATATTGCAGGCAGGCCTGACAGAAGCTGGATAGATTGGTTTCTATGCCCTGAGGGGCATTTTTAGATTTAATCATAAAATTCTAGCAAAGATG